CAGATGCAGTATAATCCACCCCAAAAGGAATGAGCTGTAACAAAAACCTTGTATTTTGTATAATTTTAACAGGAAGCTCGCAACGAAGCAGGCGAGTTAAAAGCTGAACTTGAAAACCTAAAGGCAGACAATGCCAGGAGAAACTTTGGAAAACAAGGAAATTCTCTCTTCGGAGAGGTATGTTGTGGCTTTGTGTAACTTCAGTTATTCTTTAGTCATCGCCACTTATTTGTCAATCAAGGTGTAAGTTGGCCTGAACGTACCTGTTTACAGGTTGAGGACCAGCGATTGGAACTTGAGAAGAAATATGGAAGTCTACGAGCCAGACACGAGGGTGCGATGAAAGTGCACAACATGACGAAACAACATCTACAGAGACTGAAGGTAACAAAAAGTTTTTGAAAGGAAAATCATTGCACAAGCTAACCCTGTTTTACCAGGGAAATTAATTTATTTGACGAAAAGGTAAAAATAAACCCAGGAAACAAAAACATTTTTTCTTTACAGAATCAAGTAGCGACTCTGCTCCAAGTCAAGAGCTGTCATGCAGACGCCTCACAGATCCAAAGGCTCACCCAGGCATTGGTGCAGAAAGAAGGCGAGGTGAAGATGTTGAACACAAAGATATCAAGTCTAGAGAAGCAGAAGGTAGTACTCTTTATTTCCCTTAGCTTATGGCGTTTGGTATCAGTCACTTCAATTGTTGCTCCGTGATTTTCCTATACAATAATTATGTCTTGGTCGCTTGCTCGTCACGTGGCAAGTTTGGAGGCTTATTGGCTCCTTGTAGTTTTTACCTTTTTCCTAATTAGCCGTTGTTACGTTAATTTTGGTTTCTGATTCTAAATCATATATTGCTCCTATAAGTTACACACCAACCGCGTGTTTCCCTGATCTTTTGTCCTTCAGGAAGAGCGCAACATAAGCAGCCGTTTGATGGAGTTTCACGACGCATTCTCGGAGTTTGGAGACAAGAAGGACTACGTGAACTTTCTTCAGTTACAGCTTGAAGATTCCAAGTAAGCTTATGTGTAGCTTGCACGGAGTAGTTTATCTCATAACCCTGAATCTAGACCTTATACAAGACAGTTACCAGAGTGAAGTCGAATGGCCTACTAATCTCTAGTCAGAAATCTCTTATATTCTGACAATCTAAATGGGG